AAAATTCACCGAATCAAGTCAATGACATTCTTAAAAAAACTATTTTATTGTACCTGTGTGAAAGACGAGGTGAAATATAGAAATATTATATGGACGTGTAAAACATATGCTTACGATAACCATAAATACATTTACTGTAGTTTAATAACTCTATATCCGATATTATATTTAAATAATTAGATATACATCGTCGTTTTATTCCAAAAAAATTTCCCTTGTGAAATCATAACATTGTACACTTACAATTACTGTAACGTCTTTTGACCTATCGATGCTATATTTAAAAGTAAGAAAAATGGTAAAACTAAGAATTTAAATACATGTTAAAAGTGATAGAGATTTAGTAAGTATTATTTATACTGTGTAGTACTATCCTTACTTATTCATAATTAAATATATGAACTTTCAAATCTCTCTTAGTCAATAGAGCTCAGAGACTGGAGTTATGTGATTCAAATATACTAATGCAGTTACATATAAATTTTTTATAGGCTACAATTGATAATATAAATATGTTTTATGTTATTGGGATTGTCTTAATGAGTTTTCGTATTGGTGAATATGACCGAAATTAAAAAATACGTTGTTCAAAGTTTTGCTGCATTAAAAATGAGCTTTGAAACACTTCTTTTAAGAGCCCGATTTCGTCAGACAGGAATTGCTTTTAAGTAGAGCGGTAAATGAAAGTTGTGTGATGCGCGCACCAATTTTTTTTTTAAATTTTGTACAATTGTGTTATTCTGTAGGGACTTTGTCCCAGACATAACATAAAGTTATTTTCTATCTATGTATCTACTCACACCAACCTGAAATATACTACAAGTAAATAATATAATAATTAAATATACGATTATAGTTAACATGGTCTTAAATAACACGAGGATGTGATTAAAAAGGAGCGGGACGCGAGATTTCATTTCGTCATCATACCTGACTCGTCGTTGTACCTTTAGCACTCAAAACATTTACTAACTTGCAATTCTAATACAATCGGTAAAATTAATGTATGTAAGTATGTTTACTTACAAACAAAACAAAACAAATACCGTAGTGATAATTATTATAAGAACTTTTTCATTTTTCATTGTGTTTTTTTAAAAATGTATTCTTGAATGGTTTAGTTACCTAGTTTACAACGATTATGGTATTGATATATTTTTTTCAGATTAAGAGGTTCAATGTTACAATCCACCGAAATCTTATTAATCTGCTTAATCTGATAAAATTTATCAGCTATTCATCGTTTCTTATATCAAGTACTAGCTGATGTACCCATCGTTTACGGGTGTATAGTTAAAATTTGAGAATCTTTTTTTGAGATGGATTTTGTATTATGGGAGGAAGGGGGGTTGTTTTTAATTTTTTTATGGTGGGGCTTATGGAAGTCAAGGTTTCGCAATAGTCATAACCGAAACTTTGTTATTCGACAATTTGTTTAGGTACCACACAAATAAACCGATCACCACCGATCCATTAAAGTTTTTCAAGTGTTTAATTTTCATTTATGATGAAGCGAGGAGATTGTGGAGTCGATTAATTAATCAAAAAGAGTTGTAATCTCTCCAATTCTTTAAACTCTGCTGAATTTATCGATGGCAAAATAACCAAAATAACATTGGACATTGAGTCACCTACATCCGTGTAAAATTAGAACTTGATCTGAATATTATGGGTGAAATTTTTCGATTTTCCCTCTGATTTCCTGCTAATCCGTTTGGTTAATCCTAAAAATGTATACAACATTCGTTAGGCTCGGGAAGTTGAATTGAATAACGCCTTTAACGGGAAGATCGGACAAAGTTGAAAAATGAGTGTGTTTTACCCATTTTATGGACAACGCATTACAGATGTTCGGTATTCCGGATTTTTCCCGTTGAGTTGTGATAATTTTTTCCATCAGTTGGATAGTACAACTTTTAAATGTGGCTCGCGGTAAAGTAGGTTGGGATTAGAATCGAAGTAACTGCTTAACCGGGATCTCTAAACAAATTACTCAAGAATTCATAACTTTGGTTCTACTCAATATTTTATTTTCACTTAAAGCCTATATTTTAAGTCAAGCAAACCTAAAGGTAATGTCAAAATTACAAAAGCCTACCATTAGCCATTGCCGAGCTTACCTCTGACAAAATTTCGTTGGACAATGCGGACATCCAGACAGACAATAAACTTTTTTAAAGTGGATTTGGTAACTGTAATGTATAAAACGGAAAGCTATCATGAAACGTGTTTATTCTATTCAGTGTACAGACAAAAACTTTATTTTATTTATATAGATGTTTTTTAATCTATAAACATAAGTTTATTATTAACATTTATTATCAACATAACCGAGATCCCTAGACCAATTACTCAAGAATTCATAACTTTGGTTCTACTCAATATTTTGTTTTCATTTAAACCCCATGTTTTAAGTCAAGCAAACCATAATATAAATGTACAGTAAGCCATTGCTGAGATTACTCCTGACAAAATTTCGTTGAAATGCGGACATACAGACAGAGTTTTTTTTTTTTTAAAGTGGATTTTGTGTCTGCAATGTATGAAATGGAAAGATATCATAAAACGGGTTGATTCTATTCCATGTACAGACAAAATCTTTATTTTATTTATATAGATTGTGGAACCAACATCTTTTATTTTTTTGTTTGAATGGTATAAAAATGAAATTATTTCTCAATTTAACATGAATGCAAATTTGTATAAGATTTAAATATTGATAATTTGTTAAAGAAAATATTTAATATATTCTGTAGTTGTAATATATTTATATTTGCTTTTTAAATGAATAACCAGGCGTTTAATCGCCATGCGATTAAGTTACCAGCTCGAAGCTAACTTCCGTGTAACTCAAGGTTGCCAATTACACATTAATGGCTTGATATAATTTAATTTTCCCCGCAAAATCAGTTAACATCCCATTTTTACATTTTATAATTTTTTTTATATAATTATAAAAAATATTAAATAAATAATGAAATTTTGTATATATATATATATATATATATATATATATATATATATATATATATATAATATATATATATATATATATAATCGAAGATCTATTAAACTGTAAATATAATTATCTTAATTAGTAAATTAATATTGCTGATCTCCTGCGTCGCTGAAGGTAATTAAATTAATTTGATTTCGATGAAATACGGTGTCGGTGTCAGATAAATATATATATATAATTTTAATAATTTAATTTCAGAGAGTCGTCAATACAATAACTTGAGTTTTCCATTTCAAAGTATATTATTATCAAACAAAAATTGTTCAATACTAGTAATGACAATTGATGACAATGACAATTTAATTAATTATGTTTACACCAATAAATCACGGTCGTCTTAATTCCAATGTAAATTTTATATGTGGAATATTTTTGGTTTTATTTTATTTTACTTTTGCAAATTTTTACATCACAAAGCAATCATTAAATATTTATTTAGATCGTTAACGCTGAAAATAATTATTCATGGTTCATTGTTTCTTAACAGTCCTATTTTTATTTTATTTTCTAATAATGATTAAATATTAATGATTACTTCAATTTTATTGCAAAATTATTGCGTTTTAATTTGATATGATTTAAATCTCTGGCTTGCAACGAGCTGAAGAGAAAATTCCCGCCGTTTTTAAATATCAGCGAAATATTCAACCTTGGGCTGGAAAGGTTCACCGCAAATGCCGTAGCTAATTTATAAAAAAATAAATAAAAAAAAATAAAAAAAATTAATTTACAATAATTATTTTCAAACCTTCATCGAAATATCTTCGGGAAATTTCTGTAAGATTCATTAAAATTGGATTTTCTGTCGTTCGTAGTTTTAGTTTTTAATCATTTACCCCATGGTAAATGAAAATACAATGCCTATATTTTAAGTCATATGGGATCTTATTGTCAAAAGGATTTTTAAAAATTCCTATATATTATTTCTAAAAGGTGTTTTTTTTTTTTGTCGGTACGCCGTAACTTCGTCAATTCTTTATCAAATGCAATGATTGACCACTCATTTTGACGATATTTTTCTCCTTCACATGAGAAAAATAGTCCCATCTTCCCGAAAAAAGTTATGGAGGAAAAGAAATTTTATTTGCGAATAATTCAAAAAGTCTGCATTTTTTTCTTGATTATACCCATGATAATTAGAAAGATTACTAAATTACATACAAAACAAAAAAAAAAAAAAAAAAAAATGTAAAAATCGGACAATTATTAACAAAGATACAGTCCAGTAGTTTTGGTATACTAAATAATGTCTTCGATATTGCATTTAGGAGGAGAATAGTCTACTACATTTTTTTTCCTGGCTTTTATATTAACTTTATTATTTCTTTTCATCATCATTTTATTTTTTTTTTTAGTAATTTACAATATCCTATGATTGGGGCATTATTTTGTCTTTATTACTTTTATTATCTCTCCTGTCAGCGTTTAAAACCAGGTCCTAGCAAAGCAATTTGTATACATATTTTGGTCTATTATGTTTAATGGAAGATTGTAATCGACTAAGGAAAAAATATTAATTCCTTCCTTACATAATACATATTAAATACTATGAACTGTTCCTACTATGGAACTATTTCCAAATTGTTTTACTACTTCTTCACTGAACATAATTTTCTGTGAAATTTTCGCACGGGCCAACTAGTTTATTATATTAAAAAACATTATATTTCAACGAAAATTTAGATTGTTTGGCAACTTAATATTTTTTTTACTAATACTATACCATGGGAAATTAGTAGCACGTTTTCTGAGTCTTTAAATCATACCGAATTATACTATAAAATTATAATAATTTATGCTTTTTATTAGCATTTTCATAGACTTCTCGAATCATAATAAATGTTCAAAACTTGTGAGAAGTTATTAGTAGCCTGTATAATACGAGGAGACATGTAAGACCTATGTAACGCTAATTATAAAATAGAATCTGAAACCTGTCAAATACGTAAATTTTCTATTCCATTGTCAGTATTAGACTCACCATTTCAGATGGAGCGCTGGTACAGCTACTGAGCAGGGGAGCCAACAGTAATACTCAATCAAGTGTGCCGCGCATGCGCCGTCCTCCCGCTTCCACCTCAACGCATTTTACGTATTTTGATTTTGTTTTAGTACAATAATTAATGAAAAAATAACCGTTTTGTTTTTGAGGAAAGGAGAGGCGTTAGTATTATGTAACGCGATGTCTTATCTTATCTTTATGTCCGACGTTTGTATATATTTACCAGAATTTTTGCATAGTTATTGTTTATTTCAATCATTTTATCACAAAAAATCACACAGATCACAAAGTTGAATTATAAATAAACGGCTTGAATAATGTGAGATAATTTTAGATAGAATTTTCTATAACCTTATCATAAATGGCCATCATTAATTTTTCAAAAAGTTAATTTTCCTTTCTTAATAATGTGTTTAAATTTTAAATTTAACATCAATTTAAAATGGTAACATCATTCAAAAATCCAAATAAACATTTTCACATTAAGGCGTATTAGCTTTTCCCAAATAGAAGTTCTGATGATGATTAAAATAATACAATAACTTCGAAAAAAATTTATTTCGGATTTGAACGAAACATCCAACTGGGATAATTTAAGTAAAAAATATCCAAGACGCGTACTTATCTCTGTTTGCCATTTCGATATCAGTTAGACAAGGAACCACAAATTTGGACAGTTAAATGCCCTTAACCATAGAGTGTGAATGTGATCTGTGAACACTATTATAAATGTCCTTGAGACATATTGTAATATTTTTCAATAAATAAGAAAAGTCTCAACTTCATTCGGGGGAGAGGGTATGGCCGATCGGGCTAACGCGTTCGCACATTGCATAAAGGGCATCGAATCCCGATGTCGGAAGTTTTAAGTTTGGCATTAATTCCTCGTCCTTTCCTCTGGCCCAGGAATAACCCCAAATGGTGAGTTAGAGAAAAATACAACATAACAACTAATTTCATTGGTTTTGGAAGACATGTCTAAAATACATTTATTGCAATGTTGAAAGATTATGAAATGACTATACCACGCTATGAATCCTATGCCCAGGATATCTTAAACTGTCAATATATTATTGAGCGATTACTTCTTCAGGGTGGAGAGATAATCATAACCCTTTGTGGTCTCCACGATATTGAAATGATATATAAACTCACCAAGGATGGTATAGCAGTACAGCATCCAGAAAACTTTGTCATTCTACAGGTCTAGGGCAGAAATAAAGAGGTTGCAATCCATAGAACGCTGGAATCCATAGAGATAAATACTATTGAGCATGTCGCTTATTGAAGAGGAATAGGTATACGCAAGAAAACAACAGTTCAGGTATACGTTTGGGTCAGGAAACTCAGATTCGTATTCAGGGATTAAAAAAAAAATTAAAAAAAATTAAAAAAAAAGAAAAATAATGTATACCAAAAGTTATGGCTACAACAAAATTTCTATTTTTCTTTATTGCCTAGTCTATATTTTTGAGTAATCGAATGACAAATTGTCGGAACGGTCTTTATTTATTTATTGTTATTATTTTTTATATCACTTTTATAAACTTTATAGACTATAAAGAATGAATAAATTTCATTTATTATTAACTAGGCTTCTCCAGTAAGAAAAGTTATTACTATGTAGTTACTAGGTAAAAGTAGTTAGTAGGTTAAAAGTTACTAGGTATTTTCGCCTTTTCTCTACCACTAAAATCATCAAAACACAATAATTAAGAAAGTTTTTAATATGATACTTATAACTTTTCCAACGTATACATATTATAATAAACGTAAATAATGTAATGGTGTAAATTTTCTTACGAAATTATTTATTTAATTTCCAATTATAGAACTGAATTAATATCTTAGCAGAGTTATGATAAAATGTAATCACCATTCAAGATTTATAATGTAGATTCTTTTAATTTAAGGATTTAATTATTGTTTCGAAATAAAAGCATAAATGAATAACATTCAAGGAATTTAATGGTTTATTTTTTTATTTTTTTAATTATAGTTTAATATTTCTTGAAATTTTGATATAGCCTATGGTTTTGTCTTTATTTAATCTTTATTGTTATGGTTTTATCAAATTTTCTTTCTATAACATGTGAAATTTTATTGTGATATAGGAAAAGTTTCTGACTAAATATTTTTTCAAGGATCTTTCCTTTTCTGATATTGATCTTGAACCAAATGATTATAATTTCTATTGCTCAATGAAGTGGCCTTGTAATTTTTTTTATTTATTTAATATTTATTAATAGAACTACGTTCATTGTATTTTTATGACAATATAACTACGGGTCATTTTGAAATTCTGCGTAGTATATTTATAGGCATTTGTTTTTTTTTTTTTTATAAGAAGTTTGATCTTTTTGGTCAAGATTTACATAATAACTAACTGTGTATCATGGCTTTACTCAGGTTAAATTTGGATAATACATTCCATTCACGATGAGTGCATAACCAACTGCATCTAATTTCTCATTAAGTGTATGAAAAAAAAAAAAAAAAGTTCCAAGGAGAAAAACAAGAAAATCATGGCGGGTGAGTTGCTAGACTCCGCTATGTTGTTTATTCACACGGCATACTGATCAATCCAACGTACTTGTAAAACTCTATACAATACTATGCATTTGGATTTCATGGAGCGATGTTCGATTACTATATTACTCATATTATAGACTGTTCTGTCCAGATGATTTCTGAATAGGCGAAACGTTGAAGAGTTTTTCTTTACCTGCATTTTGGAGAGATAAGGCTTTGGTTTGGAATTTTTCCAATAATAACTTAACATTTATGTTCTGTCTCTTGATTATTTTATTACTAATTTATAATAGTTTTAAACTATTTAAAAAAAAAAACAGTACTTGAAAGTAAGAAATTTTTTTTTTATTTCTCCCAATGTTATAAATACATCTATCGGTGCTCTTTAAAAATAAGTAAGAATAATCTTATTGTAAAATACGGTTTCGAGATTTTCTATTCAATTTTGGCCTCGCTCATATTAAGAAATATAAAACACAATTAGTTATTTAAAACGTTATATCCTTGTCTTAAGAATGCAGTTAGATTCAAAAGAAAATTTCTTTCATAAAATAGTAAAGTTTTTTCCGTCTTCTAAATATTTTATTTTCAGCATTTAGATTTTTTTTTTTTCACCTGACTAATAATATAATAAATAAATATTTTAATATCTAAAGAGCAGTTTTCACTTAAATCCACCACAATTTCTTAAAAATTTATCCCAGTTCTTCATCTACAGTGACTACAAACGATACTTACTGGAAGCTAAGTTATTCGTATACATTATAGAACCTCGTTTTTTTAGTTCGGCTTAAATTAACATTTAGATAATATATATTGATTAATAAATCATTATTTTCAATACCCTTTCGGATAGCATCATGAAAAGATCCTGTAGGTCGTAATTATTTGTATTTTTGTTTATTTATGAAATTCACAACTGTATTAAAAACAAATATACATCTAAAAAATGTGATAAATAGTAATACAAAGGCATGAAAATAATTGTAGGAAAACCACCCATTGGTAGCACTCTTATAAAATTTCTAAATTAGGAGATCACTAAGCAATCTTCTTTCAGACGCTTCGGAGGGTAATTAGCGATCGAAAATGAAGCAAGGTTAGAAACGAGAGGATTCGGATGGTGATGAAGTTTATTATGAAAGGATAGGTTTCAGGATTGGGTCAAATTGGAAACATATGGGACATTAAGGTCTTTGTGGATTATTTTATTTGTTACAAAGTAAGGAGCATAAATTTTTATTAGAGGATTTATTAGAGAATTTTACGAAGGGTTTTGGATTGTAAGCATTGGATACGAGAGGAATTCGATGATTTAGTGGAATCCCACAGCTCAACCTTTTAAGTTCAAATGAGTCTTTTATAATTAGTTGCAACTTTAGAGCGTTTGTCTAATAAGTGTGGAGTTAGCGAAAAAGTCGAGCAGTTTCTTGTCGTTTCAGCCTGGTATGAAGATTCTAAGTGGGACGTTTGTCGAGGTGGAGTCCTAAGTATAGGTTGTAATTTAAAATAGAAAATAAAAATAAAGTTTTAGTTCATAACTGCTTTGAAAAACGTTCGCTTCTAACTTGCCTGAGTGCGAACAATTCAACACATTTTCTGAATTCCTTATACATGACACTTTACATGAATAAGTCCATAAGCACATTTAATGTTTTACTTACATGAATTTTGTTATGGTGTTTTCTATTTTCATCTATTGGTTTATCCAGCTCTAAATGTTAATTTTATTTTCTTTGATTACAAAATTTGATTTTTTGAATAAAAATTAAGGAAAAATAATTACTAATACTTGGCAATTTTAGTTACTATATGTAAAGAATTAGTATAACCAATATACTTTTGTATTTAACCAATTTTTTATTGGGACTTAGGTTCGGCGGCTTCGCCTATCTGAAAAATTACTGTAATATTTCTGTAGGAATAAGCTAGTAGGTAACTGCAAGACTTGCACCGACAGAAGAGCAATTTTCGACAATCCAGCGAACGGCTCTGCTGCTAGTCACCAGAGCGGACAGGAGTGTTTCTCATGAGGCGGTGCAGTTACTAGTGGGAGGAGTGCCTCTCGAACTCCTCCTGCGAGAAGATATTTTCAGGTTCATATATAAGAAAGAAGGTTCAGCAGGTCCACCGGGAAACCTCAAAGAGATAATCGACGAAAACTCCAGAAAATGGAAATCTATTATTCGAGAGGATACAATTAATGTGTGGAATCAACGGTGAGTGACAAGCCCGAAAGGGGCCACTCTGAGGAAGTACTATCCCACCGTTCAATCACGTTTGGAAGCCAAGTGGGTCCTCTCGGATTACTAACTCTCGCAATTCCTTAACGTGCATGGGGGCTTTCGAGACAAGCTCTTTGGATTTGGAAAAGATGTCGATCATCTATGCTCTAGTTGTGGGATCCCGGAGACTGCTGAGCACATTATCGTAAACTGCACCGCCTTCGAGTCGCTAAGGACTAAATTGATGAGGGAGACCTGTTTCTATG